GGGGGTGGTTGGTTGACTCCGGACAGCTACTTCCGGCTGCCCCGCACGCCCGCCCCTCCTCGGTCACCACTCTTTGCGGCTACTCCGCGCAGATGATAGGCTGAACTTCCCTCGGCTGGCTCCCCGGGAGTGTGTGAGGGGACGAGGTGGGGAAGGAGACTCGGGGGCGCTGGCGGCTGCCGGTTTGGTCTCGGCCTCCCCGCCTTCAGAGCACCCCCTCCCAGGATAAGACACCATCTCCGCCGGTGGTGGAGGGGCAGCTCCCCGGACCACTTCCTTCCCTCCCTCCTCAGTGCCTTCCGCATCCCATCCCTGAGCCCGGTCCTTCTGGGCTTGCAGCCAGCCCCTCGCAATAGAGCAGATGCGAGATTGGAGGAGGGAGTTTGGTCAGGGATGGGATTTAACAAATTCCTTGGGGACCTTGATTCCCAGGGAAGAATGTCAGTGACCCAGCACGGATTGGGGACCCAGTCAGGCAGCCCAGAAAAAGGGAGATTATATACAAACAGATGTAAAGACCACTAACAACATACGTGGTTCTGTCTACGAGGCTGGGACAGGATATGAGGTGCGAAGAATCCAGTTTCAACCAAGTGGTGTATCCAAAAAAAGATGTCATCTCAATATTGGTTTATGTTTATTTTCCACTGACCCTGTGGGTGAAGATATCCTTGACCATTACTCCACCGGAATATGTTCCAGTCCATCCGATGTTACATCACAAGGTAATGGCCCTGTAGTCCTGCTGTTTGTTTTCTTCTTTGCACCCTCTGTAGCCCACTAAACTTAACCTTTCCTTTTTTCCTGGCAAACGAAAAAGTCCACGAGCTATAAAATGCAATTGAGTGGTTCAATTAAACACGTTTATTGTGGCAGGAAGTGCTAGTGATTTGAAAATGAGTAAGTCAAAGTCCCTGCAGGAGTTTACACCCTAGTGCTATGTTCCAATAATCTGTGCTTCTTTAAATCAGTCAGTATCAAGTATGTTGCTGATAGGAAATAAAGAACTGTGTTATATATGCTGGGGCAAGCACAGATCAGGAACCAGCCAAGGACTGTTAATGGCATGAGCTTAAAAAGTTAGACATCTTTATTTACATTCCACCAGAATGTCTTTTTAACCAGTCCTTCTTTAAAATAATTTCTTAAAGTTTCCTTTCATAAACAGTATTATTAACGCTTCTCTTACTACTTTTTTCTTTCATCATGGGCATATATAGCAAATGTGTCCTAATGAGGGTATAAAGTGAAAATAAAGAACACTGAGAAAATATTAAGGAAATGATCAAATATATTGACCTAATTCATGGATCAAAATAATTCTTCTTTGTTCCTTCACAGGTTAAGAGATATGGAGATCTCCACAAGGATTTGGAGAAGAGTCCCAATAATTATTAAAATTCTGGACTAGATCTATTAGGAAAGGTAAAGAAACTGAAAGTCTACTAGGAAAAAGGAGCTGTAATGGTTTACTAAAGCTGTTCAAATATAGATGTCAACTAGGTGTTATGCCTTGCTGGAGAACAAAATAAGAGAAGGTGGGTTTATGATCCAACCTAGACCTTTAGGTGAGAGCTAATTAAGACATGGTTCTGATCATTAAACTTTAAGAAGGCTTATTGAGGCAGCTCTTTGGAGAGTTTTTTAAAAGGTAGATTTAAATGTGTCATTTCAAGAAAAGAAACTAGTATTTCTGATCATCAAGAAGGAGCCCCACACTGTTTCAATCACGTTGGCATATATTAACTCACTTAATCCTTATAATGACTCCATGAGATAAGTATTACTATCCCCAATCTATAGATGTAAACATTGAAATTAAGGGTTAAGCAGTTTATTCAAAATAATGTAGCTTGTGGTGAGTGGCAAAGTTAGGATTTGAATCCAGCTGTGTGTTTCTTCCCACCATACCAACCAGCTTCCCGTAACTGAAAACTAGATGATGGGCCAAAGGACCAATGAGACTCCAGTTTCCTGAACCCATTCAGAGCAGAAACAGTATCTTACCTGTTTTTGCCACACCTACCACAGTACCTAATCCCTAGTAAAGGATTTAGTAAATATGTTTATATTGAACTGGTTTGAACTTGATCCTGTCTGAAGAGGTGAAATTTAAACAAGACACCAATGAAGAGGAATCTGTCATTCATATTTGGGAAGAATGTTACAAGCAGAGGGAACAGTAAGTACAAAGACCCTGAGGTAGGAAGATGCTTGGTTGTATTTGAGGAACAGCCAAGTCAATATGATTGAAGCTGAGTGGGAGAGAAGGCAGGTAGGAGTTGCCTTTGGAGAGGAAACCAAGAGTCAGATCATTTAATGCCACTGCCCTCACTTTAAAAAGACTAATTCCCGGAGCACCTGGGTGGCTCAGTCTTTTGAGCCTCTGACTTTGGCTCAGATCATGATCTTAATGATTCATGGGTTTGAGCCCTGTGTCGGGCTCTGTGCTGACAGCTCAGAGCCTGGAGCCTGCTTCAGATTCTGTGTTTCCCTGTCTCTCTGCCCCTCCCTGCTTGTGCTCTGTCTCTCTCTCTCTCAAAAATAAATAAACATTAAAAAGAATTTTTTAAATAAATACATGAATAAATAATAAAAAGACTAATTTCCAAGAACACTTGATCATCAGATGATGCAGCTTTACAGGAGTAAGGAAGCATGATTAAGCCTTTGGAAATACTAATGATTTATTGAATGCTTATTATGTACCAGGCATGGAGTAGGACAGTTAAGTGCATTATCTCAATCCTCACATTAATTCAACATTTAGTTATTATCCCAGAAAATGGGAAAACGGAAATGTTAAATAATGTGGTTCACAATTAGTGGCAGAGACAGAATTTGACCGAGTTCTCTTTCAGTCCAAAGCCTGCTCTTCGTAGTATACCACACTTTCTATTTGAAAAACTATGAATAAAGAAGAAGGAATTCATGCGTGCATGCATTTAGCAATTATTAAATAAAAACTTAATTAAAAAACAAGTAATGATTCTTCATTACTATGTGACAGGCACTGTAGAAATAGTATTAAAATGTAATACAGCATTTTAAAATTGTTTTGTATGATTATATTCTTACCAGTCATCTGTTTTTACAACTTTGCAGGTAGATGGACTATAAGACACTTGCCCAAGAAACTGCTCAAGAAATTTTAGGATACAATCAAGATACATCAGGCTGGAAAGTGGTTAAGACTTCAGTAAGGAAACAAGTTAAATATGGTTCAAGAGTTTATTTTTTAATGAGAAGCAATTCATTATATAGACTTTTTAAAATGTTTTTCTTTTACAAACCAAAAAAATATATTTTTACTTTTTGTTTGTTGGTTTTTATTTTTCATTTTTTTTTTCTGTATCTGACAGCTAATTTATTTCTGGATTTTTATTCCCCTTTGAGAAAAAGATAACTGTTTCCAGCAAGGCTTCTAAAAGATTCCATGGAAATCTGTGAGTACAGTTTCCTATTTATAGACGTTTTGAATTCAATGGCATTGATATATCTAGAATTCAGTGCTGCTTCACTGGCTATAACATTGCTTGATAGTAATCAGGAAATAGAAATTATTAAGTCACTAGTTTAAATTTGGTATTAATAAATTAGAGCAATTATGTACCACCTAATCATTTTCAAACTTGAAGACAACCAGGAAAAAAAGTCTTTCCAAGCGAACAATTCACTAAGACAGGAGATTTCTACATCAAGAAATAATTACTATAAAAACAGATTGGTGTTTCCTTGATAACAGTAGTGTTTTGCAGCCTTTCAAACATTTCACCTTTCCGTTAAATAAGCCACTATAAAATAAAGTTTTTTTCCCCAAGTCATTTCTCTTGCTGATACATGTAATGTTTTCTGAAAGCTGCTTTTAAGGATATTTTTGAGGATCCTGTTATTTCAGATATAACTACACTGAGGGTAGTGGGCTGACATTTTTAACCTTATTCTTAAGAGTTGTTCATTCATTGTTCATGATATCACATTAATGCAAACACACCGTATGTTATCGAAATCAAATTTTATTCCGTTCCTTTTTTTTTTTGGAGTCCACTTTTTCTTCATTTTGTATTTCTTGCTCTTTTTTATCTGACTAAAATTTGATTACCTTTTGTCTCAATCCAATTTTTTTACTATCAGACAAAACTGGTATGCCTTGTCCTACTCATTTTAATAATTATCAGGAAGATAATCCCTGCTTTCATTGTCTAAATAAGTAATGATTCTAGGGACGCCTGGGTGGCTCAGTCGGTTGAGCGTCCGACTTCAGCTCAGGTCATGATCTCGCGGTCTGTGAGTTCGAATCCCACGTCAGGCTCTGTGCTGACAGCTCGGAGCCTGGAGCCTGCTTCAGATTCTGTGTCTCCCTCTCTCTTTACTCCTCCCCCGCTCATGCTCTGTCTCTCTCTCTGTCTGTCAAAAATAAGTAAACATTAAAAAAAGTTTTTTTTAATACAAAAAAAATAAGTAATGATTCTAATAGAGGCGCTTTCAAAAACAGACCGAGGAGGGAAGTAGGTGAGGTCAATGCCAGTGACACTAGAGGAATAAACTCTTAGAAAAATATTATAGCTTGTTGGCGTCTTACATACTGGACAAGTGTAGACAGCAACCTATGCGTCAAAGAAACCTTGGAAGTTATTTATTCATTCAACGATACTTCTTGGATATTTGTGTGCAATTGTGGCTCTACCACACCTAGAGCCATTCAAGGAGTAGCTCCAAATGGGCTGTTTTAAAGCTTTATGGAGATTTTTGATCAGAGGCATTTTATTCTTTCATGCAAAACTAAACAAAAATTGGGACTTTTTACACTCACATTTTAAGTGAAATTTATACACACTGTGTACTAGTTATTGATGCACAAAAACATCATACCCCATTTCTTAGTGTCTTAACACTATTATCCCATGGTCAGGATTCCAGGTGTAGCTCAGCCTGGTGCCTCTGCCTCAAGGATTCTTAGAAAGCTGCAATCAAGCTGTCACCTGGGGCTTCGGTCTTATCTGGCGGCAGCTCTACTTCCAAGCTCACTTCCATGGTTGTTGGCAGAATTTGGATCTTCCTGGGCTTGTTGGACTGAGGGCCTCAGTTCCTTTCTGGCTCTAGGCTGGAAGCCTTCCTCAGTTCCTTGACATAGGGACTGCTCCACAGGGCTATTCACAACATGACGTTTGCTTTCCTCACAGTGAGGAGTCTAGGAGAAAACAAGAGAAGGAGCAAGTAAGTCAGGAGCCAAAGCCTTTCTGCAGCCTAATCTTGGAAGTGACCTCTCATCACTTTTGGAATATTCAGTTTATCAGAAGTGAATCGCTAGATCCAGCCTGACTCAGGGGAAGGGGAGTCCACAAGTGTGTGAGTACCAGGAAGTGGAGATGAGTGGGGGCCATGTTAGAGACTATCACACACGGGTTTTGGAAAACCATCTTTTAATTCTTTTTTATAGTTGCGCTAAAGTCCAGTAAATATCAAACACAGCTTTAAAATGAGGGTTATGGGGGCACCTGGATGGCTCAGTCAGTTAAGCATCTGACTCGAGTTCGGCTCAGATCATCATCTCACAGTTTGTGAGTTCGAGCCCCACATGGGGCTCTGCGCTGATGGCACGGAGCCTGCTTAAGATTCTCTCTCTCCCTCTCTCTCTGCCTCTCTCCCCCTCACTCACTCTCTCTCTCTCTCAAAATAAATAAAGAAATAAAAATAAATTAAGTTTGATAAAAGGTAATGCAACCGTTTTGCATACTTGTTTTCTCAAGGTCAACCCACAGATTCTTCTAAATTTGCCATGTTTGGGGCGCCTGCGTGGCGCAGTCGGTTAAGCGTCCGACTTCAGCCAGGTCACGATCTCGCGGACCATGAGTTCGAGCCCCGCGTCAGGCTCTGGGCTGATGGCTCAGAGCCTGGAGCCTGTTTCCGATTCTGTGTCTCCCTCTCTCTGCCCCTCCCCCGTTCATGCTCTGTCTCTCTCTGTCCCAAAAATAAATAAACGTTGAAAAAAAAATTTTTTTTTAAAATTTGCCATGTTTATGTACAGAAGGAGAGTATGACTGGACCAGTTTTTTGTTTGTTTGTTTGTTTGTTTGTTTTCAAAATACCTCTATTATTCTGTGTCAGCTGTGGCAGATATTTAGGTTACTACAAAGGAAACTTGTCTGAACATGTTGGTCAGGTTGGTCTGCCTCAGTCAAAAATTGACCTCCCCTGGCCTGGATTGAGAAGAAAGTGAGAATTGCAGTCAAATCAAGGGGAAAATCTAGGGAAGCTTACAACTTTTCCAGTACATCAAAGAGAGCTCCACATTTTAGTTACAGAGTTGGAAATAACCAAAGTGAGAAACATGAAAATGAATTTAGAATGGGCAACAGAGTGTGAACATTGCACACTTTTGGCTAGATAGGATGGTCTAATGCTATTTGCCAAACTAGTATCTGGGAGAAATGTAATCCCTCAAAATGCCCTTTAGGGGTAAAGGGGTTGCATTATCAAATAAGTTTTTCTAAACACTCCAGACTATATTCTCTTCTTGGAAATACGCTCTTAAGATCAGAGAAATCCTAGTGTAAAGAAACCTATTTAACTTTTCCACATGTTTTTGACCAAGGACATGCTTGTAAAATATTGGCCTGGATAATGGATCTCTCATCTCAGATTTGGATTCTAATAGAAGCTCTAATTGACTAGATATGTACAGAGAAGTGATTTATTTTTCATTATTTCCCTGCTGTCATCCCAGTGTAGGCTATTACCATCTCTATCTGGATTAGCTCAGTAACTCCTAATGGACTCCATGGATCTATTCTTACTCAACTGTATCCTGTTCTTCACACAATGGTCAAAGTAGATGCTTGAAATAATTCAGATTATGTCACTCCCCTACCTAAAATCTTCTAAAGCCTTCCCATTGCATCTAAAATAAAATCCAAGCCCTTTATCAAGCTCTGCAAGGCACTATCTAACCCTAGCCTACCTCTCTGACCTCTCCTACCATTTCACCCTCGCTCTCCTACTACCGTTGCATGAATGCAATGAACTTAACCCCGCCTCAGAGCCTTTGTAGTTGCTCTTCACTTGCCTGGCATGTTCTTCCCCCAAATCTTTCCAAGGCTAATGTCATTTTTGTCCTCAAGATCTCAGCCTCATTGCTCTTTAGAGTGACCTTCCTGGCCACACCCACTTGCTGTTTACTACACCACTCTGCCACCTTCTTCATTTGCATCTATCACTATGTGAAATTTATCTTCTTCCTTTGTTCTCTCATTTAGTATATGTCTTATTAGAATATAAACTTGGGACACCTGCGTGGCTGAATCGGTTAAGTGTCCGGCTCTTGGTTTTGGCTCAGGTCATGATCTCACAGTTCGTGGGATTGAACCCCATGTCAGGATCTGCACTGTCAACATGGAGCCTGCTTGGGATTCTCTCTCTCCCTCTTTCTCTGCCCTTCCCCTGCTCACATGCTCTCTCACACACTCTCTTTCTCTCAAAATAAATAAACGGTAAAAAAAACAAACAAAAAAATACTGTAAACTTGATGGAAATAGGAACCTGAATAGGAACGAGATTATAAAGAAATCACTTTTGTTTGTCACAGTATCCCTAGCACCTGAAGAGTGTCTATCACATAGACAGTCGGCAAATGTGTATTGACTGAACTTATGGACTTTAGTTCTATTATATTGGTTGCCAAATAGAAAGTATTTAAATTTCCCTTGTAACTGCAGTACAAAAATATAAACCAAAGATATCTTCTTAGCACTTCACCTTGATTTCATAATTCATACCCAAAAAGCTCCTTTTGTGGTTACCTTGGAGCACTTGGGTATATGCAAGAGAAGAGTGCCAATTCTTTGGTGGGAATTTCTTTCTTTCCACCCTCAAGGGATGTAATACAGATTACCAGCACACAATTCAACACTACACATTCCCCAAAATGTTAGCAGCAGCTAACATTTATTAATCTTTTACTATATGTCAGGCAGTAGGCTAATAATTTTCTTCAATGTTTAATTCACTCCTCTTAGATCCTACAAGTATTTTCTAGCCTGCGGTTTTTCCTTGCGTACATCACACTCATGTTTCTTTGCATGAATGCCTCATAGTTTTTTACTGAAAACTGAATATTTAAGTCATGTACTGTGGCAACTCTGGATACAGATTCCACCCACCCACCCAGGGCTTGTTGTTATATTTGTTTTTAGTTGGGTGGTTTGTGTAGACTAATTCTGGAAGTCTATTCTGCAGCCTCTGATAATCCCTGCTCTGATTTTTTCCCTTGTTTTTATCCTTTAGCCTGTAGGAGGGATCAACATAAGCCATTTATTGATCACAAGTTGTGCTTAAGACCCCCAAACTAGCAAGATTTTTACCCTTTACAGTTGGGTCTGTGTGTGGTTTACAGGCTGTTTTCACAATTCAGCAGTTTTATGATTTTTTCCTGCACTTAGCCAGGGAC